TGACTAGTCATCGACTAGTCCAGACTAGTTTGGGTGTTTGAGTGGATCGACTCAATTTGGAAGGGATAAGTGAGCAGCGCTCAGCCCGCGAAAGGGAAAAAATTTGCAACCTAGCTTTCCGGGATCGCTCCACAACGAACTGCCTCGCCTGGGACCAAACCGCAGCCACCACCCATTGACCCCCATTGCCGCTGCCACCCACCACCGCCGCCAGCGGTTGCCAGGAGCATTACGACGCTCTCCCTCCTTTGGTTCTGCTCCTCCCCTGAATTCACCCCTTGCTGTTCTCTTCTGCTGCTGTGCTCCTCCCCTTGTTGTTCTCTTCTGCTGCTGTGCTCCTCCCCTTGCTATTATCTTCTGCTGCTGTGCTCCTCCCTTGCTATCCTACTTTGCTAATGTGCTTCTCCGCGGGATCAACTCACTTCTATTGTATATTGTACTCCCTCTGTAAACTAATATAAGAGCGCTAAGGACCCATGCCAGGGTCGGAATCCTGACCGTTTTGGGATATTCCCACCCGATCCTGGGAAAATTGCTAGCGTCGATGCTAGATGTTTCGTCGAGCGCTTCAGGTTTTTCGTCGTGTAAATTGGCTTAGACCTGAGTACACGGTAACATACAAAGCGTTGGAGGTAGGGACGCTGAGAAGGCGCTTATCCATAAAATTATTTTTAATTTGCTGTCCAAGCGCCTGAACAGGCGCCTCGCGTTGGTGATGCCCTTATAGATCACTAAATTAGTGATCTAAACACTCTTATATTAGTTTAAGGTGGGAGTACTTCAGTATATAATATATACATACTACGTATTAGTGCTGAGTAATATATAAGTTGAGTACCACAGTACCATTAGTGCTGGCCACCTCCTGCTGCTTCATGATGTCGAGCTCGCGGGCTTTGATCCAGAGCAGGCTCTCGCGGACCTTGACGCGGAGCAGCTGCGCTGCTTCAGGATGAGCCTGCGCAGCGTGATGGCAGTGAAGCACTTGGCGACGGTGAGCAGCAGGACGAGCACGAAGGGGTGGGGCTCGTAGGTGAAGGCGGCGAGCGGGTGGCCGCAGAGCACGATGAAGGCCCCGAACTGGAGGCGGCCGGCGCGGGAGATCCGGGCGAAGAGGGCCGCCACCGACGAGCCCCAGCACCCGCCCCAGCTGGTAGTAGCCTGGTACCTCCCCTGCAGCACGTCTGTCTTCCCCTCCGCCACATCCTCCACTGACTTCCCCCTCCTCCCTCTAAGACTACTCGGTCGAGCCCAGCGAGAGGCCGTCTGGGGCGGGCACTGCCGCCGCTGACGACATCGAAGCCTCCATGCCGATCTCCTGACGCCTCTTGCTTGCTCTGGCCGCGGGAGATTAGGCCCGTCGGATGGCAGCGGCGCGCGGCGGCTGACTCTGGTCCCCTCGCGTTACCCAACCCAGGGCTTGGAGCGCGGCGCGCATGACGTCGGGAGGGAGGGAGACGACGGAGGAGACGACCGCAGTGGGGCCCGAGAGGAGCACGAAGGTGCCCTGATGAGCGCGTCGCCGGCGAGGAGATTGCGGAGGAGAGGCGGACCGCGCCCGGGGCCCGCCGGCTGGTGCCTGGCGTCGGGCCAACTCCACCGCGCGACCCTATCCTGTCCGGCCCGTCCGTTTGAGGTAAAAGGGGTAAATCAGACGGTCCAGCGCGCGGGTGCAAACGGATTTTTGTCCGTTTTAAGTTCGCTTTCGACCCATACCCGGCTCAAGTTTACATCGATTTTAGGGTGAAACGGACAGCGCGCGGACAGATGGGACGCGCGCGCTTGTCCTCCCGTAACCCGTCTGTCGGTGGCACAAAGCAACCCCTGCCCGCCCATTTGACGCCATTTACAGCAAACCCTTCCATGTCCCTCCCACCACCTCCCTCCCTCCCCCCGTCCATGGCCGACGCCCAGCCGAATTCCGGCGGCCTGGCCTGGTTTATTAGGCTTTGTTTGGTTGCAAAGGGAGGACCACCCAGGGTAACAAACCCCTGTGGGGGATTTTCACGGACACAGGGGATTCCCTTCTCCCGTGGGGGTGATCTCCCCGTTTCCATTTGGGTCTTTGGTGGGTCGCTATGAGCTGTTGTGGAGGAGACTATCAACAGAAAGGACCGGGAAATAGCCTGCGGACCAGTGCACAAGCGGTAGGCGAAGTCGCGCGAAAAGAACGCGGACGGCGTCCGGGGCAGTTCTCCCGATGTGTAGAGACGTGGGTGGGAAACCCGGGGCTATCGGGTGGATTGGGACGGGAATTTATCCTCCACGGTGCCACCAAATGCCACGGCAGGAAAATCGGGACTAACTTTCCAAGTGGGGCTCTTAACCAGGGAAATAGCAGGGATCCCGGGAGGATCCCGTGAAACCAAATGACGCCTTATATTGGCTACGGTACTACCTTCCGTTCTGGGATTTGTAGGCCGGCTAGCAACTCAGCGAGGTTCGGTCCGCATGCAAGAAAATTAATTTAAGAAGTATAGTGGGCTTTCAAAACTGTGACGACTGTGACGGAGGGAGTAGTACTACTTGCAAATAAAGTAAATGGAGGAAGGAGGATGCATGCAGCGGCTTGCAGGTTTCTTGCTGCATGTGCTTGTATTAATTAGCGCTAAACTAGCTCGTCCTCTCGTCTTGGTATTAGAATTTTGATCAGCAGGACTTAGCCCAGACCGAGGTAGTACACAATTTTGAATTTAAAATTCATTTGAAATATCGTATTTCAAGCGGTACTTGGATGGTATTTGGCAGCATCCACGGTAAGCACGAATTGGTAAAAAATCTTACTATTCGATAGCCAAAACCTCTCGTAGTAGAGAAGTGAAGAGAAGAGCAGCAAGTTTAACGAATGGATTACCGAGAGTGTGGAGATGGCGGAGTTGAGGAGCGTGGGGAGCGGCTTGCCATCGACGACCTGGCACTCGGCGTCGACGTGCAGGTTCCGCCATCGGACCTCGACCGTGGGCTGCCGCACGCCGACCCTGTCCATCCTGCGGCGCTGGTGCCGGAGCAGGCGGAGGTTGTCCTCGTGGATGTCGGTGATGAGGGTGTGCACCAGCTCCCGCCGGTCCGCGGCCCCCAGCCGGCGCACGTCCACCGGCTCCAACGGATGAATGGCGTTGGCATGGAGAGGGAGCGAGGTGTGGAGCCTGTCCCAGGTGGGCAGCCTCTCGATGGCCGCCCATTTCAGCTCGACCTCCTCATCGTGATGTTGCTCTCTCAGGGACGACGAGGAGGTGGAGGAGAGCGCGTCCCTCAAGGACGACGACGGTGGGACAGTGCTCGCAGACGACGCCTTGTTCATCTTCTTCTCGGGGTCATGTACTGCTGTACCGTCTTGTTCCTCCTCGCCCATCTCCACCTTGCTCATCGACTCCTCCTAGCTTCAGCGTCCTCGCCACCTCGCTCGTTAATTTGTAGTGTTGATAGTTGATGAATCACTGGGACTATTATTTAATCAACAACTGGCTCTGATTATTATTATGACGCAGTTGACTCTACCGTATTCCAAATATATCCTTTTTCTAGTTAAATACAGTATAATTACATGATACGAATCTCTGCTTGGTGGCTATAGCTACCACATGAGACATGAGTGGCAATAAAAATATCGATCTAGTGCAAGCCAAGCTTCCGTCAACTAGTTAACTCAATGATGACGGAGAATCTGTACGCACTTCTTCATGTCTGCTCCTGTACTGATTTCTTTGTCTTCTTTTTTTGAGTGGCATCCAACTCCCACCGCTTTCACACCCTACCGCATCCTAAGAGGCTAGGATAATTTCTCTATACTACTCTACATTCTACATTTAGGAGTATCTGCTATATCACTAAGCTTCCTAGGGATAAAAGGCCTCATAATCAAGTGAGGTGTTCAATTGAAATTGGATTGCCCGATTTTGATCAAGTCAACAATTTCTCAAAGCTCTCGTTTAATTCTTTTATACTATACGCTATACACTATGCTTTTTAATTTTTAAGTCCTCACAATTCATTGATCTCTTGCTTTTTCTTTGAAAAAAACGCACCCCGCACCCACCCCCGCACAACCCTAGGCGACACGGGGGGCGACCACGCCACCGGCCCTAGGCTCTCTCCCCTCGCCTCCTCCGTCCTTCCGCCGCCTGAGGTCTCACCGGTGAAGCCTGGCCTATGACGGCGGCGGCGGGGCCTTATCCCTCGTGCGGCGGTGACATTTTTTTCCGGGCGGCGGCGGCGCATCGTTCGACGGAGATCCGGCGGCAAGGAGCAGCGGGATCCCTACGGCATGCGTGACGGCGGCGTCAACGGAGGCGCAACCTCCTTGCGGTGGAGTCGCCCCTGTGGCGGCGGCCGAGATCACCGATCTGGTCTTGCCCAGGCGGGCTTGGGCGGGTCGACGGTTCCGGTGTGCATCTACAGGCGAGTGTGGTGGGCCTGACGACGCCGGCTGTAGGCACCGTGGTGGTGCCATGGCCGGTCAGGCGGCGGCGGCCTGGATCCCTTTCGTCCAGTCCCCGGCAGAGATGGCGGCAGTCCATGCACGAGATGCTCGAGGGAGGATCTTCGAACAAATCTGGGTGAAAACTTGCTCTCGGCTAGCTGCCAAGGCCGGCGGTGGCGGCGTCGTCTGCGTCGTTCCCTTCTTGACGGCATCGCCGTGGAGAAGTTCAAGTCCACTCTATGCTACCTCCAGGGGAAACGCTAGATCAGTAGATCAGATGACGGCGACGCTATGATGTCGTTTCCCTCTTGGGGGCGTCATTTGTGGAGGTGTACACAGACCGAGGGACCAGTGGAAGGCTTTTTGGTGGAGCGGTGCTTCAACTTACACATTGATGGCGGCGGATCTCAACGGCATGGCGCCGTGAGGACTCGACGTCTGATGCACAGAGATGGACTCGCGTAGGTAGGTGGTGCTGTCTGGCGTCGTGGTGGCGTCGACGGCAGCTAGACCAGGCAAGGTTGATGCAGCAGTACAACACTGAAGATGGATTGATGGCAGGTGGCTGCGGCGGCCTCATACCCGGCAGGCGTCCTGGTTGAGAAGTGCGCCGGACTGGTGGGTGCCCCATACCCGGCAAGCGTCCTGGTTGGGACCTCGGGCCTTAGATGGTAGGTTTGACTGCGAGGTCTATTTTGGTATTAGGCCCAGACTATCATCATCCCTTCATCAACTAGATAGAAGTAGCGACAGATGTTGCCTTAGACAGTGGCTTTAGTCTAACTGTTGTATGACTTTATAAGGTCTTGTGTGAATAATTAATAAAGTGGTTGCATGCATCGTCCAGATGCAGAGGCCGGGGTCCTCCTCCGTTTCTAAAAAAAAGTTTAGAACTTGATCACCTGATTTTGACCAGGTCAATAAATTCTCAAGGAGTTTTACCATTTTATTATTTTAATTCATCATATTTCCTAATTTTGAATCTCTTTTATTCGATTGAGATATTCAATTTTAAATTTGATTTACAATTTTGATTATGCCAATGATTTTTCAAATCAATCAACACCAAACGCTAGAAAAACATATCAACCCCGTGCACCCTCTTACCACCTAGAAAAAAGAAGCGCCACCATGTGATGATACTATAGCACCAATGTAGTACATGTAGCCAACGACGCAGAAATTTACCCACAAAAATATGAGTTGATTAACGCACAACACAGAATCACAACATCAAAGGCCGACCAAATAACCACATTATAAATAAATATAAAACACACCCCATGGTCTCCCCAATCCGCCAAACTAAATATCATCAGGTCCAAAATACAAGGGGTATTAGTTTTTTGGAAAGTCAAATTTCTTTAACTTTGACCAAGTTTAGAGCCAAGAAATATCAACACCCACAATATTAAATCAAAAAATTATG